GAAAAGGGCGCCCGTTGGTTCCCCAGGAGGGGATCGTTTTCCGCTATATATATATATATATAATATACTTACACAGTATGATATATCCCAGAAAGCCCATCCTGGCAGACCGTCGATCGTGAAGGTGCCACGGGTCGCGATCCTTGATCGGCGACCAAGGCCCAACTGGTGGCCGCTCGTCGGCGGCATGGCTTTCTTCAGCCCCTCGGTGGAGAAGGAGCCAAAGGAAGGGAGAACGAGAGGGATAGGACGGGAGTTGGTTCTTTGGAACATCTCGTCCATCCCATGCGGAAGAACATGGTGCATCAAACTCAGCCACAAGAGAATCTAGGCTTTACGAGTCCCATGATGTGAAGAAACCAGAGTTTCTAGGCCACAAGCTGGGGTACCCAGCTGTAGTGGCCAACAAAGGTGTGACCAGTTACGCGGAAAGCAACTCACTAGCAGCACAGCAGCAACCCAAGATATGTCATGATATTTCACTCTGAAATGAGTATCGAAATGGAACCACACCGACAAGACATGACAAGCCATCTTGTTGATGCCGAGGTTGCAGCAGCCACTCCTGCATGAGCGTTTGCAGCGGGCACGCGCTCTCCTACTTCAGGCCCGAGAGCAGCATCACCAGCACCTGACCGACCTTGTCACCGTATTGACCGACCTTGTCACCGTATCGTTGAACAGATGAGGATCGATAGTTGGAGGTGCCCCTGACAGAATGGAGGTGCCTCTTTCTCTCTCTCTCTCTCTATAATGGAGCTCGTGAAGGGTCTATTTGGAAACTCAAGGAAACTCTTTGTTCACACCCATCTTGCAGCTGAATTCCTGGTGAAGCTTGTGCTTGGTCCATTGGTGCTTCCCCTGTGGACTTGGCATTCTCAGCGTCGCTCGCTCAGATCATTCATCGGCGCACGCAGCTTCAAATGGCCACTCTTTGGTGGCAACAGGCGCGTGGCAGCGTTTCTGGACGCCAGCAGACGGTGTGTGAGTTTCTGGATAAACTTACACCAATTGGAGCTTCTCAGTTTCAAACAGTTTCAACCATTTTCGATACACCTTCACCCCCGACGCATTTTTGCTTTCACCATCTCCTGTGAGGTCCATCTTCGCTCCGTCCGGGGGCCATGTGGAAAGTGAGCGGGGCATTCGCTGGGCCCGCACGACATGGGCGACATGAAAAGGGAGCATCGTGCAGCAGTGGAGGACTCCGAGATTTGGCTTGAACACCAGCAGAGGTTGAATGACCCTATAGACTATCCCATAGGTACCCCCAGTAAGGTCCTATAAGTCTATAAGGTCACTTAGCCTCTCTTGGAACATGATTGAAACAAAATGAACCATGTGCGACAGGGGAGCCATGCGGGAGCCTCTGAGACTGGGAGCCAGAATTGGCGCAACTGAAGACTGGTGAAGACTGGGAGGAAATGGTTCACTTGTGAAATCAACTGAATCTGAAGAGATGTGAAGAAAATGAGGCATTTGCTTGGCGATTCTTCGAGTTCAGATTCCCCGCCTGGGTTCGGGCTGACGTAGCTGGCGGCCATCACCCTGCAACACCCGCAGACCGCTTTTGACAGATCCGACACACTTGGGAAGGAACCCGGGTCTCAGTGTTCCGCAGTCTGTAGAGGAAGGTTCCAGGCGGTTCCAGGTGAGCCGGGTGTGGTCCGGGGGTAGCCCGAAGAGAGTCTCTGTCTCTCTCTCTCTCTCTCTTTGTCTCTCTTTGTCACTCTCTCTCTCTCTCTCCCTCTCTCTCTCTCTCTCTTTTCACCTAGCACCTGAACCCGCACGCCTCAAGACTCTTCCAGTCTATCTTCATCTAGTCTATTCCCCCCTAAGAAATCGACCATGCATCAACCAACAAAGGGATCAACACGGTGTGTTGGATTAGGTATGGTATTTTGGACCTAGATTGGAGAAGCCACCAGCATAGGAAGCCACCAGGAGTGCTCTATAGGTGCTTCATAGGGCCTAGCTTGGACTCTCCATAGTGCCGAACCGCGCCTGGCCGAGGCCTGGCAGTCTTGGCGCGCGGACGCGGGTAGGCTTGGAGCGCAGTGGTACCTGGCTCCCTGGTGGATGGAAGAAATCAAAATGGACCATTCACCGCGTACGAACTAGCGGTGATGTTGAGGTACAGAGAGAGAGAGAGAGAGAGAGGGACGTATTTTGTTCATTGAAGGTGTGCAATTCATTTGGCACCAAAAAATGGATAAATGGATGGCCTTCTGGGAATTCCAAGGACAAACGGTGCGAGATAATGAGATCTCAGGTCTTTGAAGACCCTCTCAGTCTCAGCTTTGAAAAATGAGAGGAAGCCGACATGTCAGCAAGAGTCACTCTCATCAAACGCGTTCTATGCATTTGTTCACAACTGCTGGCTCAAAATATGCTCAAATGGAAAAAAGCAGCAGCCCTCAACGAACGACCCCTCCAAGAAACGCCAGCACTTGGGAAGGTCTACGCAGCAGTTTTGAGGGCTGCCTTGGAAATGATGCTTGTCAACCACCGACCACGAACCGGGAAATGGCTTCTTCGTGACCACCCGGCTTCTTCGGACAGGCCTCACCCTCCAGCCGTGGGGTCTGAATCGATGGAGGCGGGTTCTCACTCAAAGCATCTCAACACTGGTTGGACCTACAGTTTTCGGGAGGCGCGCGGTGCCATGGAAGAGCCCTAGCAGGGCCTCCGTCTTTGGGCTCTCCGTCGATGTAGGGGGCCATTGATTTCTCTGGCGCCAATGACTTCATCGTTGCACTGGACAGTTCTTGATCAAGATCCTCTCAAGGGAGAATTCTTGATGTTGGCTTGGGGGAAGAATAAAGCATTGAATCATTGAATGTCAAGTGCATGTTCGTCCATGTTTCATTTGATTTCCTCTCCCTTTTCCCGAAACAGACCCCAAAAAGGTACCAGTTCAGTGAGCCATCCTCAGTGGAATCCAAACCTCGGTGTTTGGAAAACGCCAACCTCCAACGGAATCGCCATGCCAGATCGTCCCAGTTTTGCAAGGGAATCACCAGCCATCCGGAACAGAGTCTTGTGACACCAAAACCAAGATCCGAGACCATCCCAGTCCCTGAAAGGTTTCGCTGAAAAGGTTGGACCCTGTTATGGTTGGCTTGCCCGGTGGCGGTCATGCTCGACAAGAATCCCGTGGTTGTGGTATGTTGTGGTCGCTCACGGAGATGCAAGTAGGTTGGTCCCCCTTAGAACGTTAAGAGCTTGTTGGTGGAACTCTTTTGTACAGAGTTTACATGAAAGCTAAAGGCCTGTTTGGTCAGAATCATACGTCAAATTGTGTCACCATCCGTATGCCTTGCTGCAGAGTACGTCTATTGCGTAGTTGCGTTTATTCATTATATATGTTGTTCAATGTTTTTCGTGTGTTTCATTATTTTTTGTGGCCAAAAAAACATTGTCTTTCGCCCAACCGCCCATGCGCTTTTTGGACGAACAAACGGCCGCGATGGAGCGAGGTGAGCGTGGAGACGCGTGGAGCGCCCTTCGTCCTCGAGGCGGATGGGCGCCTGACGAGCAGGAGGGCGCTGACAGGGCCAGAACAGGTGTATCTTTGGGCGTTTTTGGGGGGGTGGACCAAAGCTGACAAAGCGGAACAACACAAAACATGACCTTAAATCATAGAGACGTCGTCAATTCTCCACACGTGTTTTTACATGTCTTCATTGTTTTCTGATACTAGTATGCAGTGATAGATTAGTTTGTCGCGTTTGCCTTTGTCAGGGTGTTGTTGCTTACTTGAAGTGTATCTCCGATTGTACAACGTCAAAGTATACATGGCCCTCAAAAAAGGAAGTTCTCCAGGGGGTTCATTCGTTCATATTCGTTCTACTGTATGCGTCTTGTGAATGGTTTTGTGTTTCTCTGCAGAAACACTCCTCCGCCGAACGCCGGAGGCCACTCCGCCAAGTCATCGCGAAGCTCCACGACCGAGTTCCGGCGCATCCACACCACGTGGTGATCGTCCGAGGCGCAAGTGGGTGGGATGTGGGCGGGGCCCGGAGGATGCGATTCAAGACATCCCAGTGGCCATGAGGTGCCCAAAGGTCCAAAAGGCCGCTGCAAGATTGATTCATTGACTCCTTGGGCTGGAAAAAGGTGGCGAGTTTCATGACTCCATCTCCAAACGCGTCTCCAAACGTGCCATGTGCGTTTCGTCGTCAAAGCTCTGGGCACCAGAGAGTTTTGCATGTACATGGCATGGGGAATGTGCCGGGAGTGGGAAAATCCAACGTCCCATCCCCTCCGTCGATAGGCCAAGCACAGCAAGACTTCCACGAAGCACAGCCAGTCGTCCAAGAACTTTCCAGAGAAGAACGGAGATCAGAGCTTCTGGAAGGGTGGCCAGTGGCTCCAAGGGTCTCAGGGTAGCTCCGAACACAAAGATGTCCATGTCTTCCCTTGACACATCGATAGACATGCAGTATGTAGTCGGATCCATCATGACAACTGGCGGAGCGAATGGCATGGAAATGGCTATCAGGTCCAACTACGCACACGTGGGCATGACTTGAACATGTACTGTACACACATGTACACACCCATGGACACGTGGACACCTTTTTTTTTCCGTTGGGTTTGGATGGTACTCACATAGACTGGACCATCCCGTACCCACATGGACTCGGAAGACTTACTCGCCGAGCCCGGCGGACTGAGTCAACGAACGATGTTTGTCAAATATGACGAGGTCCTGGGACTAGCGATGTTCATGTCCATTGACATTCAGTGAACGGTGGGACATGTAATTATATATAGATCTTATTTATACATTATGATCTATTTAGTGTTCTTTCGGAAGATCAGGCATTGTGGCAATGCATGTTGTTCTTTGTGGTGTTTGCTTTTTCAGACTCTCGACACATCAACACCGCATGTGTGTGTATTTCTTCGCAAAGAATCCACTCTGCAGTTGCCTTACCAACAAACACTTGCTGGCGGAAAACAACGGTGTGTACTAGAATCTAGTTTAACATAGAATATTTAGGGAGACCATGAGAACCCCCCCCGGCCAGACTCCCACGAAGAGCGAAAGTCAACTACAGTCAACTACCCTCCGACCCATGCAATTGGATAACTCTTTTCCTTTACAAAACAGGTGGGCCATCCATCCACCCCGTCGGGTGAGGTGTTCGTCGGAGTGAACCCTCCTCGTCGGAGTGAGGTCTGTACAAGGCTCGGGATTCTTCCAAGGCTCGGGATCTGCCTGACCGGCCGGAAAACTTTCTCCTACGGGTTCAGCAGGCGCGACGATGGGCGGTTTCACCATCCGTCGACGATGGGCCTGGAGGTTGACATCTTGTAAATATGATGAAGTGGAGGATCAACCAGGGTTGTGCTATTCACTTCCACCTCAAGATGATCCTTCTGACACGTTCAAGGTTAAATATCGTAATCGGAAGTCCTTTGTTGCCCACGCTTGTTTTGTGAAGAAAACATCAGAACAGAGGGCACTCTAAGCATCTCTAAGCCACAATACAATCTACCCTTCCCCCATACAAGTCCCAATTCCTCGAGGTTCATCAGATCCACTGGACCCTTTGTTTCAATGTGCGGCCCCTCTTTTTCAAGATCTGGAACCATTTGGAATCCACCTTTTCAAAGCTGATCATCTCTCCTTTTTGGGCATCTCAGGGCACCCCCGCCAAAACCCTCCCCTCATATGGTCCGGACGAGAACTACCGGGCTTTGTCACACCACCGCGGGTGTCGCGGCACCGGGCACCGGCCTCCGCCGGCCGTCGGAGGCCGCGTTCCGGCGCTGGTGGCACGCCAGCTGCATGAAGCTCAGCCACGAGGAGCCAGTGGCGGCTGCGGTGGCGAGCTGTGAGAATGCGAGCTGTCCATCTAGATGGATAGCCATTTGTGTTTTAGAGGTGTTTCGACTTCTGTTAAACATCTTGCGAAGTGTTTTTTGACATTTTTTTTGGTTGGGTGGTGGGGACTTCAAGGCCTTGATTATTACTTGTCACGGTACGACAATTAAACAAGATGGCGATGGGCGTGTACTGACTATGGTTTTTGACATGTGCAGTATAATTGCTGTAATTTCTTTGTCACAAGCAGCTATTAGAAAACAAGAAGCTTGTAGTAACAAGTGCATCGCTACTAGTAACAAGTGCCGTACTAGTAGTAACAAGCAGCTATCAACCAAAGCTTCCTCGGTGACCAAGGAGCTCGTGGAGGAGCGCCGCCGTGCTGCCCTCCTGGCCGCTCGGAGGGAGCGGAGGGAGAGATGCCACAAACATGAAGATGGGCACTTCGGTTGAGAAAAAGAACGTGATGATTTGAGAGTTCTGAAAAGAACGTCGTGATGATTTTCGATGATTTTGGAAGGTCTCCATGATTGGACACAACAGCTTTGAGAGAAGCAAGGCTTTTGGAAGGTCTCTTCAAGACATCATATTATGGTTTTTCTTCGATGAGAAGTGAAATTCCAGGGGTTGCCAGCGACCAATCCTGGATTGGAGATATTTGGTTTTGATGTCATTATGAGTCAAGCTCATCAGGCAAGTAGTAGTACGCAGCCATTTCAAGGGATTTGTCTCATGACTGGCAAATCTTCATCCACACTCCCATGGGTTGACCTATGACGGTATACGGAAACTTGATGAAACACCTACCAAGTGTGGATGTCACACTGCAATGGTAGATGTTGTTGTTTCCCAAGGGCCATAGCATCCTTCGGTCCCCAGGGCCGCCACCAACACCCCAGCCGCCCAACGCCCCATCTGCTTGGGAGACGCTGACCAATGTGTTTGTCCGATATCCGATAGCCACATGCCTCATGATGGACCTTGTCATTCACACTGTGGCAGATGGTCAGTGATGGTTGTGAATGGTTCTGATATGTTCAATTCAAACAGCAGCGGGTCAAATGCGCGAACCCGAAGGGGCATGTGAATTAGGATTTGGGTTTGACAGGTACACCGGCGGTGGCAAATTGAACCAAAGAACGTTCCTTGCAGATATCAAGTTGACCACTGATACTTGTATTTGTGCTCTTTTGCAAAGGTATTTGTTTTGGGTATGGGTCAAGACATATTACACACAGTTGGGGTTTGAGAGGCCACAGGTTTTTGACCCGCTGTCACTTGTTCGATTGGTCCAGTAGCAGTGACCAGCTTTCAGCGAAAAGACAACAACATGTTCCGCATGTTGTGATGTGAGATTGTGATCGATTTTGTGAATACTTTATGGTTCCAGGATTTGCCCAGCAGCTGACAGCTGCTAAGCTGCTACTTTGACCTTTGCAATTTTCCAAGCGCACCATCCGCCCCAATAAATTGTGGTCCTTCTTTGTATACAATATATTGAGCGAAGACTCCCATTGGCTGCAGTGCAGTTCGGGACCACGTGGTCCTCAAACATCGTCACGACCGCCGGAAGCTGGCACTGCAGCTTGTTGCGCTCTCAGGTGTTGATACGGCAAAAGGCGCTGAATGCCATGGTCGCTTAGATTGACAGATTTGGACACGAGAGTCGAGACAGGCGTGGGATCCAGCACTTGCAACGTCTCAACCTCCTCCCGAAACAAGCATTCCCCGCATCGTCGTGGATCGCCCTACCACCGCGACGGTGCCATGTCTCGGACGAATGGACGGTTCCATGGGTGAATGGCGAATGGACGGTTCCATGACATGACTTTTTGGGTACCAACGATGACGGGGTACGTCCCGGATGACGGGCTTGGGATGGGTCCGTCCCGGTGTTTCACACGGTGCCGGGTTCCGGACGCTCATTCGAGCCCGAGGCCTGGCAGCATTGGGTGGCCTCGTTGCAGCGGAAGGCGAAAGGGACCGCGGTGACCGCGGTGAAGGGACAATGACCCGACTGGGGTTTTAGAGTTGGCCACATGGTGGCACACCGAGTCTGGGGGAAAGAATACATTTTCTCATGGACTTGTGCACTCTTGTGTTGGATTTAGGTGTGTTTCATGCCCTCTTCTCATATGCCCACGTGTCTTTCCTGCAAAGGGATATGTTGGCCCTGAGGTAGGGCGGACATGAAGATTTGTTATGATTTGTGTAGAAGCTATGTCAATCTATTTACTGTATGGTGTTTCTCTGCCGGCGCCAAGCTGACTTGGCAATCCGGTCATGAGTCCGGTGCAATCTTTTTGGGTGTGTTCAGCAAGTCTTTTGACGAGTGCGTTGTTTTCCACGAGTCACTGCCATTATGAAGAAGCCATGATCTCCATGTTCCAGTCAGCACCTGATCAACTATTGGACGCGAGATCTGTTTTTTGCCGATCCGCGACGATCGGCTCCAACGCTCCAACTGGAGCCGCTCCAGGGATGTGGTTGGAGCCTTAGGGATCAGATACAGTTGGAGAACATTTGGACATACAGCCCTTGAAGTTCCAGCCAACGCTCCATGTTTCCCGTCTTGACCTTCTCCGAGAGCGGGGCCCAAATCCCGGTCATCCCCAAGTGGTTACTCCTGGCTCCAAGAGCTCGGCCGAGTCAGGTCTGCAGTCCCCAAGCAGACAGAATCCTCAAGTGATCCGTTCGAAAAGAGACCGACTGGCCAGGCCTTTGAAAGCCTTCTCCACGAAGACTCTCAGGCAGCACTGGTGTGCCGCAGTGTTCGCGCGTGACTCAGAGCCAGGTGTACTCCTAGGGTGAGGGTCAACAACAAATCACTTGACCGTGCGCAGGTGTACTCTTAGATCCTTTACGCCTTTGCTGCTTCGTTGGTTTGTAGGGGATTTACGACGAAACCACTAGCAGGGGATCGAGTTGGGCAGGACGGGCAAGTTCATAGACTACTACGTTATGTTTCATTCAGGATAGAGTCTTCCATGGAGAACGAATGGGAACCGAGCCCAGTCATTAGATGATTCCACCTGATCACAGGCTTTTGTTAAAAGTTGATTTCAACAGCTGACTTCCGGGCCATTCTTTCTTGAACAATGCTTATTACTTATATTATCATAGAAAGTGCATGGCAGAACGGGAGATGACGTACTGTAAAACATGGTAAAACAATGTTGGCAAAAGGCCCGGGTTCAGTTTGGGACGATTTGTGGAAGCAAGAGATCCCTACTCAATCATCATCCATCAACATCCACTGGTCGCTGGTGATGTTGTTATTCTACCCACAGGGGCAAGGAAACACATACATACCGACAGCTGGCTGTTCAGTATGTGATGTTCAAGTCATAACTCAGAGAGATGCCATGTTTGTGATGTGACCTGAGCCATCCGAAAAGGTGTCAACTTCGAAAACAGACCCTGCCTCATGCAATCATGCAAGTCCAACAGTTTAGTTTGGCCACACAAAGTCCTCCAGCCATTCCTCTACTTCCTCGCTGCTACACAGAAGCACCTATGCAGGAGGATGGCCGCACCAGACGTCACCACCGACGGAGACCCTCCAGAACCAGGCATAGTGGAAAGGGGTTTGAATTATCATCTTCCTGGTGAGTGCTTGCTGTGTTTGGCAGCCTGAGAGGATGTAAATGTGACTCAAATCTCGGGGAATTGGGATGCCGGTCGGCGAGTTTGTTTGACCATGCAACTGATTCTGGCCATGGGTTTGCCATGGCTTGCCACTTGAGCAAGCAGTTGATTTAGTATAAGACAGAAGTAACCCTGCCAGACACATCACGTCCAAAACACTTGCTTCGCTCGTGGCTGTTGGATGATGCAGCGCAAGGTTTGCAATATGTGTTCCACTGTGTGCTCTACTGTGTGTTCCAACGGTTTGCAGAGTTCAAACACCAATCGCTCGACAATCCCATGAAGAATCTCTTACACAACAGTGACCACCATGGAGAAGGGTGACCACAGTGATCACTATGGATCTGAGACCCCAACATGACCGTGGAACACCTGAAAAAACAAGGGCATTACTACTAGTAGCGATCGGACGCTAGCTACACGGGGCTCCTGGCCTTACTACGAACGGAGCATTCTTACTACTGTTACTAGTAGCAGGGATGCTACTAGTAGACCTTCTTGACCTCACCGGGCGGAACGACTTCACCAACCGGTCACCAACCGGTCACCGGTCGGTTCGACGAGGCCTGGATTGAGAGGCACCTCCATTGGGGAGGTCCTGCAGAAGGCGCGGAACCTTCGCGGTTTCGGGCGGCTGGTGGCTGAGGTGTCTTCATGAAGTGAGGATGTCCATTGTCACCATGGTGACCGGATGGCCAAGTTCGTGAGGTGAGGAGTGCAACGTCCTTTCTTGGGGTTTGCTTTGCATGGGTTTGGATTTGAATAGAGTGGTCGATGATGATCGACGAAAGTATCGGCCCGTTGTGAGTTCATCAGAGTTTTGACCATGGCCATGGCCCACTGAGTTACGCATGTCAATGCTGCCAGACCACAGACATGATCGACATGTCCAAGATATTTATTGGTCGGATATTGAACAAAAGACAAAATAGGTGATAGAGCGGAGCGCGTTACCGCTAGCCGGCTCAAGTAAATCCCCGATTAGCCAGATGTTCAGAATCATCAGAATCTACATTTTTATGATCCCCATGGTGGGAATGTTCCATTGCATGGATGCAGCTCAAAACTGATAGCACAAGTGCCAGAGGTACCTCTGGCCTACGAGCTTTGGCGTGTGCTCTTTTTGGAGACCAACCGCAGCATCGTTGACTCAACAAACAAACAGAAGGGAAGTCGCTGGCTTCGACCTGCTTCTCGGCCATCCGCAAGATTCCACAAGACCCAACCCTTCTTGCCTTCGAAGCGAACCATTCTGCTGTGGAAACACCACACCAGGCCTGGCAGCGCTGGCGCTACACGGTGGCTGCGGGCCTGCAGGCGCACAATGCAAACACAGAAGGGATCTTTGGGACTCCTTTCCGGTTGCTTCCCGGTCTACCAGGGAAATGACCGAGCCGTCGCCTTCCTTTTTTGGGCCAATTGGTGAAATTTAGCCTGGGAAGAGCATTCCAGGAAAGTCGTCGCATTTTTGTAGTTCGCGAGGGAACTGCAAGTTTGTTTTGGAACATTGTTTTGTGCAGGCTTTGGTGCGTTTGATGCAATTCCATGCAGTTCTGGCACTCTCTAGTGTGAACGTGTGTTATGGTTTCAATTGCAATTCCATTCTGTTTCCATGGCCCTTGTGATCTTACGAATCAACAATGAAACCAAACGAAAAAGGCCGGGCTCTTCCGCGCTTCACTCCTCGGCCGGTGCTTCGACCTCGCGCCCGATCTCGCTCCGCGAGGTCTTGGGTCCTCCCCTGCGAGTGCATTCGCCCCACGTGGCCTTGGCGCTCCTCGGAGACGACGGGGAGAACAGGGGAGAACATGGGAGAACTCGCCCGGAGACGGTTTGGTGTTTTGTTTGGGGAGGGAAGCAAAGAAGAAGAGACTCGTTCTTTTTTTTGGGGGGGGCTGGATGAAGGAGTGAGGGTTTAGTGAGGGGCGTTCAAAAAGAGATGTGGTTGTTGCCATTGGTTGATCATGAGTTGTTACAGGTTCGTTCGGAGGGGCAGATTTGGAACACCAGTCACAACAAATATCCAATGTTAGGATCCGAGTGACCTTTCTGATATCATTGATATTCATTGTCCATTGTTTAATATTTATCACACTCCTCAAATTGGATGCAAGGCCAAACTGGGAGGCAAAGGCCGTGGGGAAGGAGGTCAAGGGAGATGGGAAGATATAGGGCGCTTACTGTATAGTGTTCATTGTTCTTCTCATCCTATCAACTGTAGACCCCTTTATTGCTGCGTTTGATGTCACCACCCCACAATCATGGATCATGAACGACTCCAAATGCGGAAGCACCATTGGATTATACGTCATGATGCATATAAACAGGGTGTAGCATTTCACCGTGTTAAATGGGAACAAACACCGTGCAAATATGTGCAAATTGTGTAGCATCTCAAGATTTCCAAGAGATTCACGTGCACGGTGTTTTGTTCCCTTGTTTCCTGTCAACAAACAGGTGCGAGTTTTCACCACATGTGCTCTTCCAACCGCTTGTATGTACCGGTGGAGGGTTTAGGTCCCAGATGATACCAACATTCTTTGGATCCATCACGGAACCCTCCACAATCCGTGCGGATCAATCAGATCGTCCGAGGCTTTGCCACATCGCCTCTGAGATCGCCGCGCAGCGGGCGCGGGCTCTGCAGGCGCCACGGACCGGAAGTCGGTTTCGAGGTTTGCCCGGAGGATTCAGGATGAATTCATGAATATTTAGATATTTAGTACGTATATACTATAATTACGTGGGTTTGGCACATCCATCAACCTGACAATTTGTTTGGAGATTCACTCGCATAGGCATACGTAGGGGTAATTAATTCAAGTTAGTTCATATATATATATATTTATAATTGAGGGGACCTGTCACCCTTTGTTTTGTTTTGAAATTGCTTGAAACGCACGCGTGTAGGCAGTTGTCCGCAAGAAAACAATTTGACAAGGGGTGTGTGAGGTACCTCAATTTCATTTTTGTTGAAGGGATCAATTGGTGCTGTATAAAGCTGTTGTCCTGGTTATCCTGAGACTGTTCATACGACATGTAACATGTATATAATAACAAAAATTGAATATATCAAATTTAAATCGGATGCAACAAGTGAGCATGTGTGTCGACCGTGTTATAGACCACGCGTGCACCGCGTGGTCTACGCGTGTGGTGCTCCGGGGTCCACCGCGCCAGGCACCGAGCACCGCGAGTCCAATCCTCCGAGTTCAAAGGCCTCGTGCCCTGGAGGCCGGACGGCGCGACGAAGAGTAGGCTGGAGCCAGGCAGAAAAATGTGTTCGAATCATGGTGGGAGATGGGTAAACATAGGTAAACTCCCATGCTGGCCGTCCATGATGCTGCCGGTGTACATGGTGCGTCCGTGGACATTTCCTGAAATGTGGTTGTAATGTGTTGTAAACATGGGTGCATGCCTGAATTGGTTTTATACTTGGAGAATGCCTGAATTGGGGCTCTCTCTCAGAAACCCAGCTTCCTCGAGGCACCGAGCTTCAATCTGCTGGAGCAGCTTCCGGAGGAACTGTTCGCGGACGAGGCGGTGCTTGACATGCCTTGACCACGTGTGAAGTGGAAAGAACATTTGATGGAAGTGTGACATGCTGGGTCTTCGTCGATTTTCGTGAGTAAACAGACCTTCTGCGCGGTTTTGCAGAATTTCTAGCAGTTGAATTACGGTGTTCTTATACCCATACTAAGCCGTACCCTCCCTGAAGGATCCTGAGGGTGGCCTCAAGACTTGTATCGATCTGTTCAACCACGGTGAACGAATCCTGCCGTGAGGTCAGTCGAGACCTTGGACAGGGGTTGTGCCATGAGCCTTGAAAACGATGAACTCGACTCTACTTGCAAAAGAAAACAGATAAGGACATTTTGCAAGCAACCAAGCTGCACACAGGGTATGGACGGACCAGGACAATATTTCTTGTGGTACATCAAGCAAAACGACGATGTTTCTTTGTGACAGCAATTTCACTTTCCAGAGATTGAGTTACTGCAGAAATAATGAGGTATGTGCAGTATGGCAACAATTATTGCCTCAGGAGCATCTAGGTATGTCTACGAAGCATTAGCAGTCCAGTCGCTTGCACGCTTCAATAAACATGTTGGTGACGGAGGTCGTCGTGACTCGAGACCACTGCGCGAGGCGAGACCGGTGGCTGAGCCATCCTTGGTTTTTCTCCAACAGGCTGCGGTTTTTCGCTGCGTGTGGGCGAGTTGTTTTGACGAGCGCATGGTGTTTGCAGGTCGACCAGGTTTGTGAGATGAAAGTGATGAGAAACGCCATGCTTCAATGGTGTCAGAAAACGGCAACAGTGAAACAATTGTGGCCTAGACTGTTGCAATAAAGCGGGGTCGAGGTGTTCTGTAAGGAGTCAAGGGACATTCAAGAAAACCAAATGAGCCAATGAGCAACCGCCAAAACGTGCGATGACTATAATTTAGTCAAAAACAGTGGTGAATTCAGCATATAATGTGCTGACATTGCGGCTAAACCTGCAAAAGCGATAGGTCCCCCTCAAAAGCCACAACCTTGCTGAATCATGTCTATTTGACAGTACGCTTTGGCACACGCTCAAATGATGGGGTCCTTGAAACTACGATGAACAGATTTGGATAGGCTTTTGGGAGTGCTTCTGGAATCTTCTGGGGCTTCTCCTGAATAACACGCAGCCTCCACATTGGGTGGAATAATTACACTGTTTACACATCCAAAAGGACCTGCCGCCTCTCACTGAGTCAGTCCGACTCGCTTGTCACTACTAAGAACTTGATCGAGGAAATTGCAGATTAGCCTCCACCTGCACCTTCCAGTTACTGTAGATTGTTTGACCCGAAGCTGCCCGTAGCTGCCCGAGCACTGAAGCAAGAGGCTGACCAGTGGAGTTGGGTGACATCTCAACGACCCGTGGAGTTGAAACATGTTGAAACCCACTTGCAGTTGATCGCATTCGGTTGGGGGTTGGACTTTTAATGTGTTTTGCCCACAGAAGTGGGGGACATTCTTCAATACAACACACCGTCTGGCCTATGGCATTCCATGGCAATTTTAGCACCGGTGAGTGAACAGTTCGACAGTCCCCAGTTGAAGTCACCAAATTGGGCCAGACGCGACATTTGTGCCACATAGTCACAAAGGTGGTTCAGTTTTGGAGGAACTATGTGTTCCGTTCTGTCCTTTTTAGTGGTAGCAGTAGTAGTAGTATTAGTTGTTGTTGTTGTTGCTGCTGCTGTTGTTCTTGTTCTTTTGTGGTCGCTGCTGCTGTTACTGGTGCTGCTACTGCTGCTGTTTGTTGTTTGTTTGCTTTCTCGTTTGATTGATTATATACTTGAATTATGGGCTTGGTTGTGCTGTGCCTTGTCAATAGTCTGTGCATGTTTGTGCAGTTATGTTAAGTTATTTGTTTAATTTGTTACATTTGATTGTTTTTTGCTATTTCGGTTGGTTGGCTAGCGGGTTGTTTTCCGCTTAATTTCTTGTTGGGGAGTTGTGGGGCCCTTGCCAATCTGAAGGGGCCCGCGGGCCCGCACGATGTCACGAGGTCCTCCCGGTCCGTGTCACGGGGCATGGGGACACCCACCTGATCCACCCACCCAATGTCATGATATCCGAAAGAAAGACCGATCCGCCCCTCTTAAACAGATATCGCTTGGAAAGTAAACACCTCAGATGCAGCTCCGAGCAGATCCATCAGGCCTTGGCGAGCTTCTCATCCCGAGGCCACAGCTGGGGATGGGTCAAAACCTGGAGCCCTGGTCCATCATGTAGGTTGACCTCCGAGATAGGTCAACCAAGGTATCCTAGTTTTGATCCACGGCCATTGTTGGATTGGGATGCTTGGTGGATGTTGGCGCAAAACAGGAAGGAGCTGTCTGTTTTTTTCAGAGCCAACTCATCTAGGATGGACTGCTCGACTCGCTGGACTGCTGGATTTTGCCGTCTTGTTCTACTCATCCACCCGTGACCCAATCAGAACTTGTACAGCTCAAAAGCCCTCGTACAAGGGATCCTAATCCTCAACAGCCCTCGGAACCAAGAGGTCAAGGGATTCACCGTGGCATCTGTGCGAGGCCTTTCCATCGGAGATGATCTCTCTCCGATTTCCCTGTGGCCTTCAGAGGCGCCACACCGACAGGAGCGGTGCTGAAGGATGGAGGGCCCCTCGCGAGCGTTTGGAGTAGGGTGCCGGTCGTGGAACATTTGGACTCAATGTTACTCATCACCACTCATACGTACTACTCATCATGTTTGCTTCTGTATTCGTTCTGGTCGGTACCAACTAGTCCTGTACACAACAAACAATTAAACCGAAGACATTGTGTTTAAGTTCTCTTTAGGGCGTCACGTTGTGGATGTGCTCTTTTTGCCGACTTTTCGGCCACTTCGAGCAAAACCACACCACCTCCCAGGTCGGTTCCGACGCTGTCTACCTCCGTGTCTTCCAAGCCGTCTGTCTGATAGATTCATAGATTCTGATGGTTTCGTCATGAAACATCCATCATCAGAGCAGGGTCCAAGAAGGTCCAAGAGCAGCGTGGCTGGGCACTGGGCCCTCACTGGGCAAGCACTTGGTCCTCGCTCGGTCCTCGGCGGCGGAGGAGTCCGAGCTCGGCGGCAGGTGGGATGCGTGTTCAGGGGACCAGGCGTCGTCGAGATATGGGGGAACACCCATGTGTTACTCTGTGTTACATCACAAAGAATGGACGTCATGTCCTTTTTCCATGTCGTGCGCGCAGTGTAGATAGTATAGTAGTTTTGAGCCATGCCACCACTCAGAACCTTGGGGTGCAATATGTTCATGTGAGAGGCTTTATTGGACCTGGGCGGCCTGAGTGTATAGTTTTTGTTGCTCAACTCACTGTTTCCTTAAGACTGCGTTTGAACCTTCAGGAGCGTGTCCTACTTTCTGCCAGCCATCACCAGCCCATGCACTCCTCGTTGCCGTGACGCGTTGCCCGTCAGGCACGCACCGGGCACTCCTTGGGCTCGGGCGGAGTGGAGCGGAGTGGGCTCGAAGCTGGACGTTTGGCAGCAGATGCTCCGGGAGGTGGGAGGAAACGGGTACACGGAGTGTTGTTCGGCTCGGTGAGACATGGAGAAACGATGAGAAACGGCTTCAAGGTGCCATGACGATACATTAATACTGTGTGACTACATTTGATGATATCTGCGTGTTTGTTGCTTCATGTTTGTAGGTGCCAGATTTGATGCATCTACAAAAGACTTACAAGGCAAATGAGTCGTACATGCAAGGACCTAGCATCACAGAAATGTAATTGTTTTGATTTTTGATCTTTCAGACTAGCATGCCAGCGGACGCTGCTTTGTGTTCACAACAACAACAGCAGCAGCAGCAGCAGCAGCAGCACCAGCAGCACCAGCAGCAACAGCAGCAACACTGACTGTCATCTCTTTTCCGATGATTTGCCAAAACACAGTCAGGTTCAAGGTTTCAAGTGTTATTTGGGCGTGTGGACATTTCAGGCTTTTATGCTGTTGGAAACAGCCGCTGTTGCTAGTGACTGCTAGTGCTTTTGAGGTTCTCACAAGGTAAAGTGTTGTTTTGTTGAACAGTTGTTTGCTTTTGTTTGTTAATTTTTGCCAAGACTTTTGAAAGCATAGGATCAGATAAGCACGTGCGTCGCAGTCCATCGCACTGTTTTCACTCCCAGCACACGTGCGAGCTCCGGTGCGAGATCAAGTCTCATTGCAGGCGCAGGCGTAGCACGTGAACCCCCACAACACTCCACATCTTAGAACCATGTCGAAAACAGTGCTGGCCTAACAAACCTAACGCACACAGCTGGAAACGTCACACGGCAGTTGTGGAGCCGACTGCCAACAACAACATTTGTATTGGGAACCTGCTGGAACAGATCCACACTACTAGGAGCAATGTTCGCTACTCGGACCAAAGGGCATCGCTACTAGGAGCGATCGGACGCTACTGGTAGCTCCTGGCCTTACTACTAGGAGCGATCGGACGCATCCACACCCGTATCCAGGCACCACTTCCGCCCGCGCCCACTCTGTGCAACGCGCCTCCGGAAGCAAAGCAGGACCAGGACTACCAGGCGGAACAGGGAAGTTCACCGTCCAGGGACGGAACAGAGTTATGGCAGATGTACACTCCCTGGAACTAACATGGTTACGTGGATGGCATGGCCCCGAAAGGAAGACCATGAAATCCACTACAAACAGGTGGTGAACTCCACTTGCATGTTAGTTTTCGGGAGTGTAGTAAGTATATGTAAGTATGTTGTGTTTATTGTAAATACACCGATCATCCCCGGTCCATGTTGGGGGGCCGGAGTTGATGACTCTTCAGGAGTGTTTGTTCTGATTCATCCAAGTGGCACCAAAAATTCAACACACTCTATGGACCTATGGAATGGGATTTGTATCCCAAGGTGACACCCGGCCAAGTGCAATCCTGAGTAGATCCCATATATAGACAGAGAGAGAGAGAGGCTGCTTGAACTACCACCTTCGGACAGCGTGCTTCCGTTTCGTTCCGGCCAGGGCCTTCGGCGGCGCGCCTTCGCCCGTCACCTGGCGGAGCAGGGCACCTTTTTGGGGTGTGTTGCTATGGTGGTTGCTGGTGGCCACCAGTTTGTACTAGCATGGTATTTTTTGCAAAAGGAGGGGCTTTGTCATGGAAGTCTTACTTGGGGAAGGCACGCACCCTGAAGTGGTGTTTTGATTCTTAATCGGGTTTGGATGGATTCAGATTCAGGAAACTTGGGTTACACATGTTTTGAGGGTGTTCTCCAAAGCAGCGTCTCGGGACCTTGCGATGGCGCGGCATAGGCCGTCTATCAAGTATTGTGGTCCTGTCTTGAAGGCTTCCAGTTGCCTTTAACAGGGAATGGAACGTGGTGCCTAAGCAGTGCGGCTCAGCTTGGTTTGCCGTTGGCAAGGTCGTTTGCTGAAGACAGTCTAGGAACCAGGCCAAAGTGCTTGTGAAATGAAAGATGAAGAACAACAAGTTCTTCACCACCATGTCCCAAGAGATCCAGAGTGAGATGCCCCCCCTTAAGGTTTGCGAGAGAGCCTGGCAAGCTGTTCCACTATGTTCCACAGTCAGGTAGCTTCGTCCTGTTTCTGTGTGAGTTTGCATTTGTGAATCTGTTGGGACCAAGTCGAAATCTGTACCCACACTGCTGATCTGGGAGTCAGATGTTCGATGTGATAATGTGTCGGCCAAAAGGATTGCGTTCTCGACCATCAGACTTGATACTCAACAAGCAACTATTAAGTTTGGTTTATGCATGTTTATGCTGTGATTCAAGTGACAATTGTTTGGTGGTCGAGTCCCACCGTGCACCGACAGAACAGCGCTGGAGCAGCACAGCAGCAACAGTTGAAAACATTTGAAAACAAATGCCACGAGGGCTCATTTGTCAGGCTCGTGGACTGAAGTTTCAGTGCACGGTGCGGGTTTGGACATTGGCCTGCTGACGGCCATAAAAAGTGTGCTGCAGCTAAAAGAGAATGTTCCTGGCAGACCGGTGGGGTCAGCAAGACCACAAATATGTCAAACAAACGTTCGTGATTGCCCACTTTGGTGGATGTATCATATGTTGGTTGGTAACAGGTCCATGTCGTCCTCCCTTTTGCATGTGAACGTGATACCTAAAAACAATGCTTATAGACGAGGAACCCTGCGGGTCAAGTGACAGATGCATGCAAGTAGACTTGCCATGGAAGCGATAATTTATGAGATGGCTATCGCTATTAAGTTGCAGGCCATCGCTATTAGATCTATTAGGGTGGAGGCCATCGCCAACAGGACAAGAACGAAAGTCTATTTCTACCAGGACCGGTGTTCGGGGTTACCTGATTTTTTGATTGGGCGACATTGGAAAATCCGATATCCGAATCGAATCTGCCCCGACTGTCTGGCCAAACTGCTTCCTGTTGCACGGGATGAGGTACCAGAAGGCGGTAGAGCTTTGTGAGGATCGCCGGAGTTTGCTGAAGGAAGCCAGGAGCGTGCAGTTTGAGGCATTCCGTGACGAAGAAGAGGGAAACAGGGACAGCACATGGGACTGCACCATGATTAAAAGCGCGATTCTGGGTGGTGGTTTCAGATACAGTATTATTTTATGTTATGTTTATTGTCGACCTTTACGTGGGGATGATTGAACCCACTGACGAAATATGTGTTCAAGTGAGCTGAAACCACCAACCAGGCTTTCGATCCACATTGGAATTCTGCCCATCCACCTTTCCGAGCCCCAACAACACCACGCCGCTCTCCATCACCAGACGCAGGGGGCCACGGCAGCCGGGGGGGCGGCAGACGCCGGGGCCCTCCGCGGCAGGTGTTGCCCAAGTATGGCATCGAGGCATCGGAGAAGGGCACGAGCATCATGGCCGCGCCTGGGGCACCCAGCGGACGATGCCGGACCACGGTGATGGGTGGGGAGGTCTTGGAGATGGTGAGAGGACTGAACTTGAAAGAGAGTTCGGAGAGTGCATGTCTATCTTTTTGTTTGATGATGTTTGATGATTATTCGCCCATGAAACACATCATCTATCTATTCTTTTGGCGCAGGGGGTTGTAAGGGGGTTTGGGGGCGGATTGTGGAGTTGAGGAGGGGGGTTGCTGCTGGGGCAACTCTTGAGTCTTCGTGATGTCCTTTTGCTTGGCCATTTTATAGTCTTTGCAGATGGGTCGGTGCTCAGGTTTTCTGATGAACTGGAAGCCACAGCACAATTGTGGAGGGACAATGAAGTGTGTTCTTGGTGGCACACATGCTTGGAATACGGAATACTATGTATGGATCAAATTGGATCAACACAACTGAGCCACTGTGTGCCACCCTCAAACACACTTTACGGTGTGTTTTTTGGGACAATGAAGAGCCAAGGACCTCAGGGAGATCCGGTGAATTTCAGTGGTATGTGCTGTTCATACCGCCTGGATCTGCCGACCAATCACAGAGAAGAACTATGATGGCATTTGCTCAGTGAAACACTCATGTAGAGATATGTAGAGCAGTCCCGAGCCCCAGGATTCAACACATTCACTATGTTTGTGTGTGTGTTTTGCACATGCTGCACTAAAAACAGCTGGAAGCACAATACATGTCAATCCACCACAGGCCCATGATTTCTTGGGGGAAGTCGCACCAACCGCCAGGAACAACGTCCGCCCTCGCAGGTGGATTGGATCCGTGCAGATGCAAAATGGGATCAAGGATGTTGAGGTGAGGCTTTTGACCTTGTTGGGTTTCGTTTGGAATGGCAGGTACTGTGTTGGACCAGGGAGGTGAAGAAATCACCGTTCTCGATGTCGGAGCCACTCTAATGTAGCTATCAATATGCTTTTTGCAGGTACGGTACAGTCTTTAAATAAACGCAGGTTGTATAAACTAGAGTTTGTTTGCCAATTCTTGGTCGGACACATACCACAGCCAAAGGAGTGTGGAAGATCTTGGAAGAATTGATTGGAACTGGCAATCCCATCGGGGCTGAGAATACAAGGAAACAACTGTTTTAATACGAGCGGGTTGCATGCAGCATATCTACATAGATCTACGTTGGTGAATTCTGAAATGCAGAGCAAGTCGTGTCAAGAATGAGAGTTTGTTTAATCGAACATGAACTCTGAGGTGGATGTTCCCAAATTTGCGGCAAAATTTGTTGCGCCCCAAAGCGTCCAAGTCTACGTAGTTGTAGTGTTGTTGATGATTGGACGGTATTGGCCTCATCCAGGGATGTACAGGAAACCTTGGTGTTCACCAGATATTTTGCACTGATGTAGTAAGTACTAGACGGGCGTACTCTCAAACTGTGTACCCTACCTGCCCCGCCAAGTTCCCCCAGTTTCTTTTTTTCAGTACAACAGCACAGTATCACTCTAGACTCTAGAGTTTGAAATCCCTTAGAAAGCATACTGGTCTGAGGCACCACAGATCATTGTTGAACACAATATGTTTCTTATACTTGAAGAATCTTGAAGATGTACAGTGCGTGTGTGTGTGTGTTTTCCCTCAAGATACCTAATTACTACAAATATATGATGAAATCACGGCGTTTGTTCCCTATTTATCTTTCTTTCCACGCAAACAAGACCAGGAAAAGGTGGGCTTGTCGATGCACCTGTCCCGGATGGCCTACAGCGCCAAGCTGCCGTTGGTGAAGAAGGAAGCCAAGCCGAAGGTGGGCGATGCGCGGAGGTGCGTGGGTTCTTCGTTGAGAATCGGCTAAAAACCACCAGAAGAACTGGTGGTTTTGGTGCGTCCTTCCACCGGATTCCCTTCAGATCTCTTCAGATCCTCCCAAAACATCCCAAAACCACCAAAAATCAGAGGTTTGGATGGCCATGGGCATGGTCATGCATGGTCCATCGTTGTGGGGATTGCAGGTTCAATAAAGGTGGACAAAACATGCATCGCTCCTTGCGAGGACCCCCAACATGAAATCGCTCCTTTTGAAATATTTGGTGAATGTGACTGATTAATCCTGCTGAGTCTTCCGCCACTCTCCGAGTGCACCGAAAGCGACCTGCCAAGGCAGAAGAACCCAAGGCAGTTTCGCCGGAGGCAGGTGATTTCGGTCGAGAAATCGACCAGTCGAAATCGCTGGAGTTTGGGGGGGCGGATTTGTCCAGCTATCCTGGCGTCAAGCATGGAAGCATGTAACAGCACACGAGCCCTCATATACACTTATAAGACTATATTAAGGGTGTCCACGGCTTTCCACGGTTCCTGAAGAAGCGAAGGTGAACGAGCCCGAGCAGAAGTGAATAAACAGATGGAGTCCGATGGAGCATCATGAGAAACACCAAGCAAGAGTCCGAGCAACATGCTGCCGTCAATGGCGCCACGCGGCTGCTTCGATCTAAGTCCTAAAGGTGTTTGAAGGTTCAAATAGGCGCATCCTAGGAGAAACACATTGTTTTGTTTTTGTGTTATGCCTCGCTTCCTGGAGTGCACATTTTCGTTGCGGTGTCACCCCTTTTGGAAGCATTCCGAAAACAGAGTGATGACTCTTTTGTGATCCGGTTGAAGTGATGACCAGTGATGACAACGAAGCCGTGCGCCGAAGAACGTGGAGCGAGGCCAGGCTACGCTGGCAGAGAGCGACACGACTGACTTGCACGCATGCTTCGTTGCACTGCCAACACAATCGGACCAATCGGACATGAAAAATTTCACTTGCTGGCTGTACACCAGCTGAATAAGAAACCTGGTCTGGACAGCGTTCTGAAAGTGTTGGCATTGGGGCTATTGAGCTAATGGCTAATGGCCTTGTCAAAAGAGAGCTTTGTGGAAGTCTTTCAATGGCGAAGCCCGGGTCATCAATTTGTTGAAAGTCACATTGACATATCAAACGTGTTCCGGCTGGAATGCTCATGAACCCCAGTATCATTGACAAAACAAAACAGTATGTCCTGACTGTCAGTCTGTGTGGGTATTCGTGCTGGCCAGGATTTATTGGTTTAATCCCCGGTCAGAATAGTAGTAGCATGTAAGCACACATTACCCGTGCAAAACATCACCCAGAAAACCGTTTTTCAGTTGACAATGCCCTGCTTCATCAACCCAGGACCGTTCGAGTTCAGACTCCGCACAGCGAGTTCCGCCACAGGCCACGAGCGTCACGTCTCTACCAGTGAGGGAGACGCCGCCCTTCCAGAAGGCCTTGTTCTTTGTGTTTTCCTATTCTTTTTTCAGTTTTCGGAGCAGATGACGCAAGCTACCCCAAGTTTGCTGGTTTAGATGGACCCCCATTTGTCTCAGACATCTTCCGGAGGTGCCAGCGTCACTGAAACCGTAAGTTTCACTCCAGGCAGCGTGAAGGCTAAACCATGGCCTGCTTTTTGGCAGAGCATTTCGTTTTCGACAAGTATACCTTGGTCAAAGGCAAACGGAAGGGTAGTGCACAGAAAGGGTTTTGCAAAAACCTATTCTTTTACGCGTCGTGGAAGGCGCGTGGCCTTCGTAGAACCCAAGGCTGTTCGTGGACAGTTCGTGGAATGGTGGGCCAGTAGGAGAACTGACTGCAACGAAATCCCAGAAACC